TTAGCGCTGAGGCTAGCTCTAAAGGTTAAAATGGCAGAAGAGGTTTTAGTTTGGGATGGTGACCTTTATCTTCCGGTCCTCCTCCTTCCTGTCCTGCTTGCACAATCACGACACAAGCAGAGATCATCCTTCAAGAAAATGCAAGCAGCTCCAGCCTCAGAAGCAGTCCCACTCTGTTCCGCTTCTGGTGGGATACAGATATGTCATAATTGCAAGATCTTATCTCCTAATTATGATATATTTTCTCATAATTATGTAGGCTATAAATGTTTCATAATTATGGGACAAGATGTAGTTATAAGAAAAGATTGTGATTATTACAAGTTTATGTCTCATAATTATAACATTTTATATTGTAATTATGAAATTTATTCTTGTACTTATGAGATATGTCTTAAAATATTGTAATTCAGACAAAATAAAGTCTAATTATTATGATATCTCTGAGTTCTGAAATTACTTTTTGTATTTTCGAGATCTTAGCTCATAATTATGTCATCTTTTTTCTCAATCACTCTACTTTTTTCTTGTAATGAGATATTAACTCATAATGACTGCATCCTAATTTGTAATTATAAGATAACTATATTTTTCTTTTTTTGTGTGAATGCAATGCATTTCAATAGAGAATGCTGCAGCAGACCCAGAAGTGCAGCAGTTCTGGTTCTGCTGCAGCATCAGCAGTGATGCTGCGTGGACATTTATCTCCATCTCTCACTCTGAATCTGAATCACTCATCTAAAATTCAAACAAGTTGATGAACAAAGCTAGCAACAAAAGTTTTGTTGATTTCATTTGGCCGGTGCAGAGGTGTGAATGTTTCTCTGGATGCGCGGCACTTCGGCTGCAGATTAGCAGTAAGAGACGCTCATGATGTCAGGAGACGCTGCAAGCAGATGTACAATGCGGTGAGTCATGCTGTGGGCCAGAAGTTACTCAGAGTGCATTCCTCCAACAGAAACAAACTTCAGCTTTAATAAAAACTTCTGACAGGATTCCTACAGAGTCTGGAAGCGTCTGGGTAATCTGCATCTTGAGTCAAGATTTTTCAGGGCAAAACAGAGAAAAAATAGTAAATAATTTCTTTCTTTCTTTGTTTCTGTCCATTTCTTCTTTCCTGGAAACATATAATTAAATATAATTAAACAGTTTTCAAATAAAAATTTCTAAAATGTAAAATGTTTCTGTGTTTTCCGCCTACAGGTCGACTAGAACCTGGTCAGAAAATAAATGAATAAAAACCAAATGATTGAAGCGTTCAGTATCTTTTTCTCCAAATCTCGTTCCTTTCCTGAACTATTTACTTAAAAATAAAACAGTTAATGTAAATAAGTATGTTCCTGTTGAGGTTTGTGCAGGTTCTGCACTGGGTGAACCGGTCCAGTCATCGCCTCGCTGTCAGACCATGTGTCACCGCTCATGAATTATTAAACGGATGATCCAACTGTTGACATTAGAAACCAAACAAATCTGTTCTGCCATCACTGTCCGCCGTACGCGAATCAGTGTGTGTGTTTGGTTTACTGATGGATTGGGTCAATGTTGGCCTTTTATACTGATTTAATATTTATTGCTACAACTTTGGTTGGAAATTAGAGGAAATTAAACAAGGAGAAAAGTCTGAATGTTCAGTTTTCTTTAGTAGCTAAAACTGATTGATTTGTTTAACAGACATGAGACAAAACAAACAACAAGGAACAAAAATATCTTAATTTTCTGAAATTGTAACATGTCACTACAAAAGAAAAGCTGCAGGAATGAACCCTTTTAAAGACATTTAGCTCCAGTAATGTTTTATATATTTTGTTTAGGGGTTTTTTAAAACATCAATTTAAAACCTTGTTTCTAATTTTAGTTTTAAAAGCTGACAGTTATATCTCAGTCATGAAAATCATAACATTATATATATTTTTTTCATATTTCATTATGTTATGATGATAGATGAATCAATAACGGGGTTTTTCGAGCAGGTTTACAGTCCCAGTCATGACCTCGCAGAGTGTTTGGACTAGGACAATGTTAAAACAGACTTCTTGTGAGTTGACAAAATTTCTCTCAAAAACATAAATCATATAATTATTCTGTACAGTTAAGAGATGATCCATCTGGAGAAACAAAGACGCAGAAATCATTGTGAGTTTCTTTGCCTCCCACGTTACAGAATCAGAAAGCTGCTGCTTTGTGTAGAAAATACATCTGTCTACTTACAATTCACAGGAAATGAATGCAGTGGGCTTAAGAATGCATTTAGGGTTGTGGGTGGAGAAGTGGAAATGATTTTGTTCCTCAGCATCAAAGCTTTGCAAAGCTGTCAGTTTAGTTACTAATTTAAGATGTTATGTAAATCATGAGAAATTTAAAAAACAAAAACTGTGTGAAGAATCCAGATTCACACAAAGGTTTAAATATAACAGAATAAGCTAATAATACTGTAGAGTCAGAATATATTTACCATAAAAATGTGATGCACCACTTTTAAAGAAATATCATCTGAAGAACTTTCTCAGGCTCCTGAAAGGATCCACAGTTTTAACCGTCTTCTATGTTAGAAAATGAAAAAAAAAAGGAATCTGATGTTGCTGAAATGAAAAACTTCTCATCATAAGTTTAAACTTTGACAGCAGCGTCACTCAGGACTCATCTGTTGGCTCCAACTGGGTCAAAACGGACCATCACCGCCAGATTAATGACGTCCTGCAGCTGCCAATAGATTGATTTCTAAAACAAATAAACAAAAGAGAAAAGAAAAATTATCTTTTCATTTTTTCAGGCTCAAAAATGTCTTATTGATCTGTTTACCTCCTATCTGCTGTTTCTTAGCAGCTTTTCAGCAAAATAAATGTTCATTTCTTCTCCCTATTTGCTTTAAAGTATGCTGACATTTTGACTCATAAAGTATTTATTCTTACTCTTTCATGATAATATTATGATAGTGATAATTAAAGGTACTGACAATGGAATAACTGTCTTGATTGTAATGATAACAATATTATGAAAACATGATCAAAATGATTAAAAAATTGTTTATTTTTGCGATTATTAATGGGATTAGCTTCTGCTGCTATTAGCTAATCCAATGAGTCGCTAATCTAAACATTGATGATCGTTTATATATTTCAAAGTGAGTCACAGAAACACAGGAGCCTGGAGGCCATTTTTCCTTCTGCGTTTGTTTTCATCCCTCTTTCTCTTATCGTTTGTTCTCAACAAGTCGCTCACGACTCCATCAGCTGTCACTCTTCATTGGACTTCATGGATCTTTAGCAAGACTGTTATCAACAGGATGAGACGGAGCAGATGACATGAAAGTGATGACACATTTATCTCTAGTTCACTGGTTGCTCTCCAGCTAATCCGCTGCTCTAATTTCACAGCCTGACTCTTAAGTTGCAACATTTCTGGCAAGATGTGTAATTCTGCAGAGCACAAGAAGCTCTAAACCAGACTGATATGTTGGCTTTCAGTAGGTGTGTGAGTATGCCTACAAATGTAGATAAAACAACAACAACAGGAAGAAAACAGGTTGTTTACGGATGTGTTAGAAACTGATTTGGGTTTATTTCAAATGTAATGGACATGGAAAAAAAGGAAACAAATGCAGAGAAAACATGAAAGAAGTCATTAGTTTCTGTGTCATATCATCTGGATCATTTTTATCAAGTCCAGAGATGATGTTTGTACTCACAACGTCTTTATGTCCCATGGTTTGCAGCTGGATGCTTGTTCTTTTACCTGTCAGTTGCAGCTTCCGGGCCAAACTTTCAGTGCAGAATGTTCCTGCGCTGCCCGGGTCCAAAATGCATATGTCTGCGCAGTGATGTTGGTTTTTGGACTCCTGACTTGAACTGCAATGGCAGAAAGGTTTGAGTTTTCTGACATGACCACAGGTCTGTGGTACTCAGAGGATTCTGTGGAGGAAGCCTCGGCTCTCTGCTTGTCGATGTGCAGGACGCTGGGATGCTGCTGGTGACAAACAGATCAGACCAAGCAGCCTCTGCATTCTCTGTTTAAACACTTTTTTCTTAATAAAGTTCACTTTATCTTTATGTGGCTTGTCTTTGAACTTAAAGAATTTGTCAACTTTATGATTACTTAAGACACAATGCAAACAGCTGTAACCTTTTGAGGACTTATATTCAGATGAACCTTCATTTTGCTGCTCCCCCTTTTCTTCTGTTTGCTGCTGTTGGTGTTTTTGGAGTTGAGCTGTTGAAGGTCTATGATGTTAGTGGATCCGATGCAACTTTAACTTGTTTTTCAATATAAAAACAAGGTCAGTGAATAATGCCCTCTGACCCCTGTGTTCCTGCAGGTCACAGGCTACATTTCTCCAGCTCTCTCTCATTTTATGGGGAAGCTTTAGGACTATACGCCTCATGTTTTATGGTTAGTCCAGTTCTTTCATATGAGTAATGTGTTCTGTTAAATTTGAGCATCCATTAAGAAACAGAGAAAACGCTTACAGTGATTCAATGTCCTCATTTTTAATAGCTGGCCAATTGTTAATTTTGTCCAAACAGGCCTGTGCAATTTCAAAATGTTCAGAAAGAAGATTTTTAGCTCTAAGATAGCCCTGATGGTAAATGCTGGCAACTACGCACAAGGTCTCTATGCTGCCCCCTAGTGTATTTTTCTAGAAGTGGGACGTTCTGACCTCCACGCAGTTCTCAAACGCTCTAATAAATGATCTATATTGAAGAGGATCACCATCGAAAACAGGGATGTTTCTTGGCGGCAAGGCAGAGTTTAGGTTTTGCTGAACCAACATGGCAGTGACGTCATTTTGCCGCTGCATGACGTCAATGAACCTGACTTGTTGATCTGGTTGCTGTTGCATGCTTGTGTTCGGAGTTTGATGAGCAGAGGACATTTTATCCTCTGGACTGAATGCTTCGGCACGAGGATCAGGTTTTAGCGCTTTTCAATATATGAGTTCCCGCCATCAGAAGATTTTGAGCCACACTGTGAATTTATTTCCAACACAGATTTGACAGAGCGCACATTGTCTTCAGGATTTATTGCGTCATCAACATCATTTTTGACTTGGTCATAATCATCTGCACTTGGCTGCACAAAGGGCTTTACCTGTTCACATAACCTGACAAGCTCAATGAACTCAAACTCATTTTATTCTGAAAATGCTCGTTTTGTTTCATGAGTTTACAGAGTGAGGTGGGAAACTGAAGCTTTTATGAGACATTTCTGCATCCTGAGAAACTGAACAGCAAGAAGAGAATTCACCGAGTCAGCAAAACATTTCAATCATCCATTATTCGTCTTGCTTGCTTCAGTTTAGCGTTTCTTTTATCTTGGCACGTTTTGACTAGGACATCGAGCCTTTCTCAGTCAGTTTATTAATACTTCGTTTGGATGAAACTTCCAAGCTTTCAACACATCAGACATTTTAGCGAAACACTTTGACCTGCTTGCAGTTTTGTCGTTGCTGTTTGTAACTTTCCTTTTCTTTTAAACCCGCTGGCTGTGCGTAAAGGCGCAGCGCTTTAACCCATCTTCATGTTGACGAACCTGTAATGTAACGTTGATCATCAAAGTCCTCTCGTTTGGTCGTTTTCCTTCAGCGATTATCGCACACACAGCTGTCACTGCAGAAAGACGTTTGGAGCTTGGAGGTGAGTGACGCGCCTTTATGGCCGTTTCCTCCCGCTACCGGCGTCCAAAGAACAGGAGATGGATCCTCCAAACTTTACGCAGCCATCCAGCATTGAGATCTTTGATTTAAACTCCAAGGCCGAGGTTCAGGTTTTTTACTTGATTGTAGTGACTATTTGTCCAACACCAAAATTCAAAAATCAAAAAACTTAAGATTTCAAAATGATCAAAACAAAAAGTGAATCTAACTCAAATAGTCACCTGATGCATCGTGGATTCTGGTTTACAAAGTTCAAAAAAATCAAAAAGAGTCAAAATGCGGTTCTTTGTTTGTTTTTATTCCAGTTCAGGCAAAACAAGTTATGAGCTGATAGATTGACTGACTGACCAGAAAGACTGAAACCACATGACCACCACGTGCATAATGACCTATTTATACTGTGACACATCCAAACTGAAATGAATCAAATCAAATGAACTGCTCACCAAAAAACTTATTTTAAATAACAAATAAAACAAAAATTCTATTTATAAATCGACTAGAAAATAAGCAAATAAAGATTAAACTGAAAATGTAGAAATAGCTCCTACAACAACATTGAAAACAATCAGGAGGTTTTCCACTTTACAAGCAGATCCACTGCAGTTCAGTTCAGCGGGGATTGATGGGAGTGAGGAGTCCTGTTCCGTGTTTTCAGTCACTGCTCTTGAATAAAAACAAACAAAAAACACATGCGTAAAATGGAACCATGTGTGCGTAAAATGTTGCCAGTGGTGAAGGCAGGCGCATCATCAGAGGTTTTGGATTCTGGATGGATGAATCCTCGGGAAGCTTCACTTCCCCACCTCATCGAGCACCTTGCGGTTGAACTCAGCCTGCTTCCGTTGTTTCTCCTCCTTGGCCATCTGGATCATATTCCTCAGCAGGTGGAAGTTCAGGTCGATGGAGAGCGGCGGCTGCTCGTTGCGCTTCAGCAGCTGCACCGCGGTCCTCAGTGCCTCGTCCTCCAGCGCCTCCTCATCTTCCGGCAGCAGCAGGTGGAGGAGGCCGGGGTCCCTCCGCTGGAGCAGCCGCAGCATTTGGTCGCCCACCATGTCCGGGGTCGCCCTGCGAAGAACATCGTCCACCTGCTGCGTCTGCAGGCGGCTGGTGCCGTCCAGCCAGCCGGGGAGAGAGCGCGGTCTGCCGGCGGCGGGGCGGGGGTGTGACGAGAGGAAGACCGAGGAGAGGAGCAGCAGGAGCGGAACCGGCTTCATGTCCTGCAACCCAAAGGAAATCACGACTTTTTAAAATTAGTTCTGAAACTTAAAACATCTGACACTGTAAACATTTTTGGCAAAATAATCTAAATATTTTTTGCATGACATTTATAAAAAGAGTCATGAGGAGATTCGTCCCAGATAAAGACACTGTGACCTTTAGATGGAGGTAAAAAGCTGCAGAACTCACTTGGTTTTCGTCAGTTGATGCAGCTGAACTTTTCAGAGATGTCTGGTCTGATTCTGGAAAGTCCAGTGAGCCGCGGCTCCAGAGGTCTGCGGGGTTTTATACATCCAGCCCGCTCCTTTTTGACGTCAATGCAACAACATGCCGCAGACTTGGAAAGCGGGCAGCTCGAAAAGACGCACAGCGATGCGGCAGCTGGCGGCGCGGATGGACTGAGAAAACAAGCAGCAGTTTTTACTGATTTGTTTGTTTTTCATCTTCTGTTACTAGATGAAGGAAGAAAACGCCAGAAACTTCACTGAGTCGGTTCTTTTGGGTTTAACGTTATTTTATACATTTTGCTCCTTCCTTATGCTTTTTGAAGTTTGGTCAAAACATGTGTTTAGCATCCCAAATTATGAGGAATTTTTCATTTATGATTTTCAGGAAAAACATTTGTTCTTCCAAACTAACTGGTGAGCTGTCCATGGTGCTGAACCTGCTTCTGCTGTATAACACTGGATTTCACATGATGGCAAAAAGGAATGCATTAAATATCACAAGATAATTTCACGAGTTTATTATAAATCACAGAAACATGCATCTCTGTCTCCATTTGGCCTCTTAAAACACAACTACAGTCTCAATAATTCTCTGGGTTTTGCATAAAGGTTTATAAAATATTTTTACCCTTAAATATTTAGGTGTGAATTCACTGCATGTAGGTTTTGCCAACTTTACAAAGTGAAATGAAATGTATTTTGTCTGTTCAAACATTTCTGTCTTAATTTGGCCACAGAGTTCAACACTGAGCCTTAAAACAATCCCTGATGTCCTGCAGTCAAAGCAGCAGAAACACAAAATCTTATCAGGAATATTGGCTCTTGATTGTAGCACAAATATCTTAGTGCACTTGAAATGAAAATAAAGAGCTTTTAATGTCTGGAAAAATAGTTAAAAGTGAAAAATCTCCCTGCTTATTTCTAGTCTTTTTAGAATCGATAAATTAAAATAACCTCATAATTTTGCTTGTAAGTTAGTTTTGCTTTATATCAAGTGAACCAAGACATTTTCACTAGAAATGAGTCAAAAATAAGAGTTTGTGTTTTTGCAGTTTAGATCTGGACAAATATGTTTTTCTTCATGAAATGTGATCAAATTAAAAGTTTGGATGTTCAACATTTTTCAGAGTAAATTCCTGACTGTTATTTTAAGACACTTGCTATTTTTTTCTACATGCAGAATCAATGATTGGACTGAAAATCAGTGCAAAGGAAGTTTAAACAAATACTTCAAACTTCTGACCAAGGCCACTTACAAAGTGTTTGGAAGCAAAATATATAGAAGTGCTCCAAGTTTAGAGCATCGCTGTGTCCGGATGAACTCCATCCACCCTCCTGTTCAGGTTACTCTGCAACAACACTCCACTCGTTTTATCACCTTGGCTTAATTTGAAAATCACAGGCAGTTGGAGAGCTGCTTCAAAAACCTGCAGCGCTCTGGGTAGAGCTGCTCCCGTCCCTGGAGGGGGGAAAAGAGGCTGTTTGGCGGCGTTTCAATGCATTCGTCAGATGCTCTCCGCTTGCAGATATAGCCTGAGTGTTTGTAAATGTGGCTGCCAGCGTGGCTCAGCAGCCTCCAAAAACACAAACACTCACCAAAACTAGTAAGTTTCCCCTGAAGTTCACTGAGGCGAGACCGTCCACCGGCATTAATGAGCAAACTTTTATGGCTTCAGACGTTATGTAGGATTTTTATTAGTTAAAATGTGCACAGTAAATATTCAACATGTTCCTTAAAGTATGAAAATGCCAACCTGGCTCTTAGGGGCAGTTTTTAGGATGAAGAGATAATGATGGTTCACTTGAACTAAAATCATGGCTATGTGAAAATATAATCATTAAATCAATACATTGTACTTAATCCATTATTTTTCACTTTTTGCAACAACCAGATCTGGCTATCCACTTACCCGTAGATTCAATGAACTAATGAGGGAGGAAATATTTCAAAAAGCAACAAATTATTCCCTGATCTACAGAAATTCAAGTAGAGATGTGAAGAAAAGTCGTTAACATTAATCAATCTGGATAAAAGTAGAAAGTCGGTTTCCACAAACTTGGAAAAGTGAAAAATGGACGACCAGTCGGTCCACAAACACCGACTGGTGTTTCATCATCTAGGAAAGAGCCTCACAAAGCTGTTTCCAGTCTGGTTTTGTGACATAAACTAATTTCAATATTTCTCACCATAGCACAAGAACTTTTTAGCTAAAAACAAGCGTTTTTTTTGTAGTTTTTTTTCAGAAACTGGCGCATTTCCATGAAGCAAATGTGTTTTCAAAATGTCAAATTGTGGAATTATGTGGTCAATGGAAATGCAGCTACTGAGGTTCTTCCAAATCCAAAGTTAAACCGAAACAAAGAGTAAACCATGACGGGTAAGACTTTTAAACATTTAGAAAACAACATTTCGTTCCTGAGGGTTATTAAAATGCTGGCAGGAGAAACCAGAACAAAGTACAACAATGACTCAGGTGGAGAAGAGTCGAGCAAAGCAAACATGTAAATCAAAAATACATTATGAGTGAAGCTCATCGAGGCGATGAGGAGAACATTTCCCTCATCAACCAGCAGGTGTTAATGTACGTGTGGCTCCACTGCAGCTCTGCAGCCAAATCCCATTTCCATAAATAACAAACTTTCACAGACGTTTCTGCAAAAATGCAAGTTTGACTTTCAAGTGCGAATTTGTCACTCAGAGTAGACGAGCAATCTTCCCCGACCTTTTACATGTGAATCAGTCACAGTTTTACACTTTCAGAAGACTAAAGTAAGTTGTGCTCATTTCTCACACACACTTGCAGTCTACAGTACAAATGAGTGTAAAAATCATCATCATCAACAACAAGACAAGCTGGACTTGTGAGGTTTCTTCACATCTTGTTGGCCTTCCAGGTCAGGTAGGAGTTCCAGGCGACGGCGACGATCTGGACGACGGCCAGCCTGCAGCCAGGAGCAAAAACCGACCATGTGGGAATGCACTGACACTGGGGTTGGTAGATTTAAATTCACTCAAAAATATCAGCTTCTAAATACATTTGCAGGTAAATAAAGCTCAGTATCTCCCAATATGACTGGAAAGCAACAGAAACATAAAAATCTCACCTGTGATGCAGCGGGACGAAGTAGAAATTAGCGATCTGGACTGGAGGCCACAACTAAAAAAACATTAATACCATGAATTTATGTTTATAAAGAGTAACTAACCGCAAATTAACTTTCTGCTGTTAAACAAGAGACCAGCGGTGGACAGATTACCAAAACATGTTACTTAAGTAAGAGTGTTGCTACTTCAACATATTATTACTAATGTAAAAAGCCCAAGAAATTCCTCAAGTAAGAGTAAAAAAATATTTGGTAAAAACTACTGAGTAAAGGATTAAATAATCATCATTTAATATTTAAAAATTACACAATCAGACAGACCAAAATAAAAGTTACGTTTAAAATGCAGTATTTTAAGAATGAAATTGACAATAACTCATCTAAGAGCAAAAAAACAACCAAATCAGGTGAAAGAAAAATGTTTCTAAATCAGTTTATTTTAATGAAAAACTTCTGAAACTTTAACAAAATCTGCAGGTGTGTCTGAGTCTGGACAATTTATGGTTAAAAATGTTTGTTTTTCATTCAGAGGATCTTAACGGTTTCATCTTTATTTGTATGTGTGAATTTTTACATTTTTATGTAAATTTACTAAAAACTGCATGATGTAACTTTTATATTGGAAAAAAAAGTTTTACATTTCTATTTAAACGTCATGTTGTGACAGTATGATATGAAACATAATATGTTATCGGTTTCAGTCAAAAACAATCAATCAGAGCCAGGAGGAGGGTCTTAGCGCTGTCAATCAAGATCATGTAAGAGCTGTCAAATAAAGAGGCTGAATCTGCTGCACAGAATCATACACAAGCTTGACTGACAGCACTAAGACCCTCCTTGTGGCTCTGATTGGTTGATAATTGTTTTGTTTTCTTAACACTGGAAAAAGGCAGAAAGCTTTTTTTTTTTTTTTTTTTACAGATTATTATTGTCTCGACAAATTTGTTGAAATTATATTTGAAAAACAGTCACATAATGCAGCTTTAACAGTGCAATGCTTGGCCTGAAACCGTCTCAGTGCTTCCCTCCTCAGGTTGAATGGTGCTACTGCAGTTGATTTTTAGTAAATGTTTACAACTCTACAGCTTCGTTAGTGTCTACAGTCTGATGTTCGGAATAAAAAATAATCTCACAACCATGATGGCAAAAACAAAATAAGAAACTTACAAAGTAGTTAGAGATCAGGGCGTCTGGGTAATCCTGTGAGAAAATGAAAAAATATATTATTGTATAAAGAAAAACAAGCAATAAATTGCACTTCAAAATAAAAATAAATAGTCCACAGCACTAAACATAATTATTATTAAGATACAAACACAAAGACATTAAAGTTAAAGGTATTTTATTTAAAGTATTTTCTTTACTCTTTTTGTGGAACTGATGTGACCTGAATGGGTTTGCTCAAATATTTCATGTGTGCAAAGCATCTATATGAGTTAATGTCATAACATGAATGAATAAAAACAAATTAAAAGGTAAAAATAAATACAAACATAAGAATTTTAGCTCTTAACATTTGAGACCAAACCAGAGAAAATCTTCAGCTTCACAAACAGAATCTGCATAAAAACGTTGCAGAAATAATTGATGCTTGGACAGAAACCGTCTGCATCTCTGCATGTTCGTTGCTTTAAGGTTCTGTTTCAGTATGAATATTTAATTTCACATTCAATGTCACAGCCCAACAATCAGTGCAGACAATGATTAAGTTCATTCATGAAACATGAAGTTCTCTCAGCCACCGAGGAACAAGTTGCTCACATCCTCGTCATGAAGGACGGAGAAAAGTAACAAACTGGAAGAAAAGGTTCGGCTGCGCAGGGAAGGACTCGGTGAAACGGTTATTAAAACTCAAGGTTTTTCCTTTTTCATTTGAATTCCTGTCCCCTCACATAAATTAGTATTCCACCTGACAGAAACAGAAATAAAGAGCAAGCCAGGTCTGTGGAACTGAGACAAAACATTTAAATTCACCAAACTGGAGTTTAACTACAGATATTCAATATTTATGGAATAAATTCATACAAAGAACCAGAAAAACAGAATAGAGGATGGAGTGATGAAGAAAAGAGTAATGGGAGGAAAGAAAGAATTAGATTCAGGGAAGGATGGAAGGAAGGAAGGAAGGAAGGAAGGACAGAAGAAAAGAAGGAAGGAAGGAAGGAATCTCAAAATGGTGTTTGAATGTGAAGCCAGCTGATTATTATCATCATCATTATTATAAAATGGTGCTGATCTTTTTAAACAATCAGAATAAACAAAAATACAAGAAGAGAAAAAAACCCAAAGAAACCAAAACAGATGAGATTAAAGAAAACATTTTATAAGACATAGAGCTTTAAATACATAAAAATATAATTAATTTTGTGTTTTAATCGTGTTCAACTGCTTCACTGGTTCCTTCTGCATCAGCAGAGATGATTCATCTGATCAGGATGTTAGTAACTGAAATATTTGGGTCATTAATCAAAGAGACCCTGGAATATAATCAGAGATGGTTCTTAGGGCCTCAGTTTGACCTTTTGACCCCACAGTAAATACTAAACAAGGCCATTTGGTAGCAGACAAAACACCACAGAAGTAAAGTTTCACGTCATTCTACCTAAAGGTCACCTGAATGTGTCGGCGTATAAAAACAACAAGCCAATGTTCCTGGTCTGTTTCTTTTTTTCAGGCTGAAACATTTTTCTAATTACGGACAAACAAGCTACTTCACCACCGGAGGTTAAAACACGTCACAAACTTCAGACAACAGAACTAAAGGAGACATTTTCGGCCGACTTTAAATTGTTGCATTCAGACCCGTCTGTGTTTGTGTCCCAAACAGAAACTCAATTTATATTCTGAAGGAGTTCAACAGAAAAAGTATTTAAACTTTAAAGTGATGACGACGTCAAACTTTGTTCTGCTATATGACACATTTTCATGATGCCATTTAGAGAAATATTTAAATGAAAAATAGATTTACATTTTGTGTAATTTATTTTTTGTGTAAAAAAATTGCAATGTTTTTTGTGACAATAAAATTATTTTTGTTACACAAAATTCAAATATATTTTCCATTTTATTTTTTATTTTTTCAAATGGAACTTGATGTTTTACCCCTAACCTCTAGAGGGAGCTAAAAGGAATAACAAAGAGCATAAACAAGGTGGAACATTTACTGAAAGATTTAGGAAATTCATGACTGAATTTTTTTTTACAGAACCAGAACTGAGGTTTTACTTTTGGTTTAAAATGTTTGATCTAAACACGTCAGTTTCACTAATTTTGATGCAGCTGAAAAAACAGATTATTAAGGCGCAAAAATTTTATTTCAATGAAAAAAAGTTTGAAGTTGACATGACTTCATTCAGCAAATTCATTTTTGTGATTCCAATTTCAGCAATCTTCTTGTCAATAAACAGCAGCAAGTGACAGACCGATGCATCTGAGGTGCACAAATGAGCATTTTAGCAGATCCTTCCTCCTCTTTTCACATTTCTTCTTCACCTGAATTATCCCACTGTGAGACAATAAAATATATTTCTGATCCAACAGCGCCTGTGGAGTCTGAGATGGCGCTTTTTGAACATTGCAGGGTCGGATGTTGGGTGAGTTTGTTGACCATGAACTCGTGGGAAGACTGGCAGCTGTCTCAAATGTTTTCCATTTCACATTGTAGATTGATGGACTTCAAATTGTTTGGAAATGATGATTGATGGGCAGAAAGGTCTGAGGGTGGGACGCTGAAGCTGATGGCAGTGTGTCCTCACTGAACTCCTGCTGTTTTTTAGAGGTGGCTACTAAAACTTTACAAATTAATCAAATCGCATAATAAATTAAAACAAATTTTCATTCTGATTATTACTGTTAAAGGGAAATTTTGTTTACAGAGACATTAAAATCTGTTTTCTTAATGGTTTCAGTTGTGTGGTTTTTATTTCCATTGTAAATTTAGTTTTGTTGTGCTTTATTTTGGATATTTGCAATAACTTTCAGTTCCAGGGTTAGTTGTTCTTTAAAAAGATAGAAAATTGTTCTTTTATTCATCTTTGAGTGCCTGAAGTTGCATTTTTTGTGCGTCAATATAATAAGCAGCAATGGTGGACTGATGAATAATTTTGGTTTACTTAATGTCATCACCCTGAAATTGTTCAGACCACATAATTTTTTTAAGTACTTATGTTACATAAAAGATAAGAAAAAAAAAGTGTCAATAAATAACAGGGCTTTAGCATTTAATCAAGTTTCCTTATAATTTTCTGGTATTTACACTTGAAGGGGTCCTAAGATTCACATTTACACAATTTTATTCTTTTATTTGGGATTGAGCTGCTTCTAAAAACAGCTGACAAACTTTAAAAAAAAAGAAAAAGCATATTTATAGGACTAAATTAATGTTTTTGTTGCCTGTTACCAAGCTTCCCAAGTGGAGCTCTAACAGGGTTTTACTGCTGTATTCGCTGTACAATGGCTGATGGAGAAGATAAATCTGTTTGTTTGCTTGTTGGTTGTGCAGGAGGCTCCACGTCTGCTTTTCAAAGATGTACAGATGTATAATTGCAGGTATTTTCATGTGTAAGGTAAAACTCTGAGTTAGGGGGCGTGGCCAACAGCAGCTAATATGGATTCAAAGTGACAAAACGTCCAAAAACCACTCGGCAGATTAATCTCATCATCTAAGAATGATTTTGTGCAAAAAATTTCCATAAGAATATTTTGTAAAGCCATAGGAATATCCTAGGCTGTTCAAGGAACATCAAGATAATACAATGTTGCTGTTCAATGTGCATTCAATAATGGGCTCAAAAACATAAAACGTGTCCAGAAAGATTTGATTTTGTGAATAGCCGTTTAGTCGCCCGCTCCATCAGTTCTCCTCTCACGCTCCCGGTCGCCAGGCGTCAATGTAATGAGCTCATTTGTCATTTATTTTGTGTCCTTTCTGACATTTACCAGGTTGGCCTTTCAGGTCCAAGCCTCTCCTTTGGTAAATAATTGATGGTGATCAGCGGCACCCTGGGTAAGCAAAGCGTTGATGGACGTTTGAGCAGCTGGCACAACATGACGGTCCGCTCTGACCTGGCATACAAACACACACACACACACACACACGCGCGACTATATACGGAGCTATGAGTCACCCTGGCTGGTTCGACAATCCCTCTTCCTCCTCGCATGTCTTCCTCCCTCCCAGGAAATAGTTTCCAACATTAATGAAGGTGTTTGAGGTCTTCAATTGTTTCCACAAAAAAAAAATCTAACTTCCTCCTTTTGGGTCAATATTTGTAACTGCGTTTTGGCCAGTTTGTGTGGACCTGCAGAGTGATTCTAATCCTTTAGAATCCCATCAACCCGTGAGTAGGCGCATCAATCGCAAAGCCCTGCAAGGAAGCTAAGAGACCTGATAATAAATGCGACAATGAGTTACCAAGTCGCCCCAAACTAGACCCCGAGTCAAAGGCTCTACAGAGCAGATCATCTGTCACATGACGTTGAGGACGAGGACACCTGGCATTAGCACTCAAAGCCTCATTTGGCGCCACAATGAGGGATGCTATGGCAGATTTGACATAAGGTATGTGGCCCAAGCCGAAATTGGGCGCATCTTGCATGTCCGCCAGGGCCCTGCCATCAGAGCTTGGCCCTGAGAAGGCCTTAGTGTCTGCCCAACAGGCATGGACCTCCTTTATATATTCAGCAGATGGGGGAACCATAAAGGACAACCTAGCAGTAGGACGTTGAAAGAAAGCACTGGAAGCAGCAGGTTGGTTCTGTGGAGCATCCAGCTGCAACCAAGCAAGAGAAGTTCTCAAAGCGCTCACTATCGAACCATCCTCTTCCAGAGCAGGAAGAGATACGCAAACTGACTGTCGACAGATGCGAGCCAGAGTCGAACTGATCTTGAAAATCAGTGCCAGATGCTGCCAGGGATATAGTAGAGTCTTCTAAAGCAGAGAGTCCTGAACCCATGCTCTGTCCTGGGTCAGGGTCCCCAGTCAGACCAGTGCTATGCCCGTCCCTGAAGGACTCAAGCAGCGGTTCTGACCCTCCAGCACAGAAGTCAGATGAGCGCCTGTCCAGATAGGCCCTCTGAATAACTGGAGCTCTTCTTGGTCCTCTTTCGCAGAGGCTCTATAGCCTCAGGAGACATATGATGGCATCTTGAAAGTTACCCAAACGAGCAGGACAGAACAATTAGGGACAAAACAAGAGGGACACAGATCATGCCCATCCTCCAACTGGAGAGAGGCCAAACACACTCTGCAGCACAGCATGTCTAGCATCTCACGCTCACAGGACCAGGTCAGGTCGAAGTGAAGTTGCCACTCTTGACACATAAGCCGACGAGCGAATAGGCCAGGGAACCCGGTCAAGCACAAAATGCCACAAGGAGTTCCCCAGCAGCGGAAAAAGCTGCAAGGAGCACTACGAGCACCGTATCTACAGAAACAGTACGAACCCTGCATGGGTGCAACACTCAATGAGGCAAGCCGAACATGGCTGCACAATGTAAGAAAAACAAGCCCAAAACGGCTGCTATGTAACAAAAAGAAAAAACTTGAAGGCCTCTGGCATTTGTTTGGTGTGGAGTGCTTTAAAAGTAGTTTACCCAACTCATTTTCAGCTGTGGGACTAAATTAAAACCAATAATTTGTTCACCCTCTTCTGAATGAAGTGGGCGACAAATGTTTAGCTTATTTGGCTGCTGGAAAAATGTGGTTTATCTCTACTAAATCAGGCTAACAGTATTAACTGAACACTTGTCTTCAGCTTCAATATATTTATTTTAATGATAGTTCAGATCTGTATTTGCTCACCCTCTTAAGTTTGGCAATGTTCTCCTCCATTGTTAGTCCGTTCAGGGCTCCAGAAATGCAGAGGAAAGTTCCCAGGAAGCACGGAGCAAAACACAACTGAGAACCCGAACAAATAATAAAAAAAATAAAAACAGAAGAAAGGAATCAGTGGTGCGTCTGGTACTGCTACATAAACACTTCAAAATAAGAGCATGAATATAAACAGCTAACAACATGGAAGAAATTTTACACCTAAAACTTCAATATAGATGTTAAACTTTATTCAACTAAACATTTACAAAACAGCAAAGTAAATTGGCACTCTACAATTTATCTAAAAAATATTTAAGGAAAGCTAAGTTAAGCAAAAATGCCAAGCAAAACAATTTGCTCTGCTAATTGTGCATTAGCAAGTTAACGAATGTTTTTCCTCCACTGAAAGAAATCTTGGGTACTGAAGCGACTTTTTAAGTAATTACAGACAGAATAAACTTAATAGGCTGTACATAATTTACAGTCAATGCTAATCACTGTTTTCTCTCACCTGGTCAACAAGCATTTTCTTCATGGCGTCCGATTTAGACCCTCCAACCACAATCCTGTCCAAAACTTTGTACCAGCTGCCGATTACCGGACCCTTTGTTGTGGAAAGGAAGCAAATTCTCCTCAAACTTAAACGCAGATTTACAGAAAACTTGGACAAATATGTATCTTATATATGCCAGTAAGATTATTTCACAGGTTTATTTGGAAAATTCTAACACATTTTGCTGCATATTTAGCAAATCTTGTAAAACAAATTCATAGTTCTGTGAAAAAAAGATTTTACCAACTTAGTAGTTTCTACAAGTTCGTTCTAAAAACAGACGAAGATAAAAGAGTAAAAGTTTGACAATAAAGATACATTATTTTAAAAGAGTCACCTGGCTAAAAATGTATTAAATCATCAACCAGCTGCTACATTTCATGAAAGATAAATAACATTTTTTGATTATTGCCACACATATTTAACCAAAAAACCACTTAAACAGAACCTGTCTTACTATGTTTTGTCTTCAGTTTTGTGAAAATTCTATATTGATCTAAAGATAAGATGACATTTGCAATAAGTTTTTAATTTATTCTTCCACAAATATTTCCACTGATTTGCACAGATCTTAATTGAAAGGCTGGATTGTTAAATCGATGCCACAGCAGCAAATAATGAATTTGTTTTAAACCCTAGAATTATGGACAGTGTAATTTTAGACATATCAGAGGAAAAATATCTCTAAACCTCATCACAGTTAAACCTCAGCATTTTCTGCATATATTTTTAGATCCAGTGTTTGATAAATTCTAGATTTAAGACGATTACTGCAGCACAAACAAATGCTTTCGTCACAAAGACGTAAGAATCAAATGGGCAGCTTTTAAAGGTAAATCGTACAGCTGTCACCAGGATTTACTGGATAAACTAGTCTGACAGAGAAGAAATTGCTTTTGTTGAATGTAAACGTTAATAAAAGAGTCCCATCAAACCATCACAAATGAGATAAATCAGAACCAGTTTTACCACAAAGAAGAATCCTATACTCATCATCCGGGCTGTTCGTCCCACATTGTGATGAGCTAATCCTCTCCTCTCAATCAGCTGTTGGGAGATGACATCACCCACACCCACTAGAGACCCTGCAGGACAAAAAAGCTGTCAGGACACGGCGCCTGGTGTTAAATGAATGCGATCCCCGCAGATTCGCTTTGTCGCTGCAAAAAGACGTTTTCAGTACGAAGCTTTTGTTAAACAGGAGCAGGATGAACAGAGCTCATTTATTTTGTTGAATTATGGCAGAAAGCAGGCGGTGATGCTCAGTGTTGAACTCGAAAATGATCAGGTCACTATCAAAGGTCGCAGGAAGAATGCATTTTCAAATCGATCTGCTTTTTAATGTTCTGGCGTTTGAAAAGTGTGTTTTAAATGCTTTCTCGGCTTGCTGAATGATAACAGTTGCATAAAAAAAGCAATAATAGATGTTGGAGATTCCAGGTTTAGCAAGTCCAATTTAAGACTGAATACCTTTTTTTATTGTGCGATTCATTGCTTATTGCGATATGCTTTGGCATGCACACTGAAGAGAACAGGCGTTTCAACGTGCGTTCGTTTATTCTCCTTTTCAGAACAGTACAACACAACTGCAGTACACAGAAGACACAGCAGAGGTCAGCATAACGGCCTCTCCGTTAACCATTAAACAAAATTACTCCTTATTTCAACACTCCCACTTAATTTTCTTTAATGGTATTAAGACACAAGAAAGTGCTGAAATACTTTTAACTCAACCTTTTTTCTGTTTATGGTTTACTTTTCGTCTTGCTATACTTAACAAAAAAACATTGTTAACTTTTTAATGAACACTACAAAGCAAGACATTCTACCACAGATTTATATTGGAAAAAGTCCAATCTCTCTTCTGAAATTTTCAAACTTCTGTCTTGCAAGAGGTTTTGTCAAGATATCTGCCTTCATCTTATCAGTTGGACAATATTCTAATTTGACTTCACCATCCCGCACACACTCCCGAATGTAATGGTAACGAATGTCTATGTGCTTGGTTCTTGAATGGTCCACCGGATTCTTTGCTATTGCAATGGCTCCTTGGTTGTCCTCCAGAATCACTGTAGGCTTTGTGACCATTCCAAGATCATTCAGTAATCTTCTCAGCCAGGTACCTTCTTGAGCTGCTTGACTGAGAGATACATACTCAGCTTCTGCTGTTGAAAGTGCAACCGTTGCTTGTTTTTTGCTCAGCCAGCTCACTGCTCCTCCACTGAGTAGAAATATGTTGCCTGTTGTTGAATGGCGGTCGTCCAGATCTCCAGCCCAGTCAGCATCAGAGAAACCAATCAAATCTTTGTTCCCTGCACAGTCAAACCTTAGAGCAAGGTTAACCGTGCCCTTTAGGTATCGAAGAATCCTCTTCACAGCAGTCAGATGTGCAGTATTTGGATTTGCATTGAACTTTGACACTGCACTCACTGCTTGTGCTGTCCGGTCTTGTTGTCATCGCAGCATACAGTAGACTTCCAACCATAGACTGATATGTGCTTGGATCGACAGGATTACTGACACCATCATCCTTTTTCAGCTTTACACTGATGTCAGCAGGGGTTGCAACAGGATTAGCTTTATCCATCCCGTATTCAATGTACTGTTTCTGATGAAGACAGATGCAGTTTTTCTCTTTGTCTTGAATAACTGAGATGCCGAGGATGTAGGACAGTTCACCCAAGTCCTTCATTTTGTAGCGCTCTTGAAGAGTCAATTTTAACTCATCCATGCTTTCAGTTGACTCTGTAATCAGCATCAGATCATCCACATAAACTGCAATTATCTCCAGCTCCTGTGATAACCTCACAAACACACATGGATCTGAGCTGCTCTGCTTAAATCCAAGGTCCAACATGAATGTTGTGAACTCTTTGTTCCAACAACGAGGAGACTGTTTTAATCCGTAGATTGATTTTTTTAATTTGCATACAAGATGCTCCTGACCTGGTTTGATGTATCCCTCAGGTTGTTCCATGTATATTTCTTCCTCTAGGTGTCCATTTAAGAATGCAGTGACAACATCCATTTGATGTACATGTAGGTTATTCTGGATGGCAAAGGACAATAATGTACGAATTGAGCTAAAAACGTACCACAGGCGAAAATGTTTCATAGTAGTCAGCACCATATAGCTGTGAGTAGCCTTTGGCAACAAGTCTGCACTTGTATCGCTCCACATCTCCATCACTTTGATGCTTGACTTTGAACACCCATCTTGACCCAATGACCTCTTTGTCCTTTGGTAGTTTCACCAGATCCCATGTTTCATTTTCTTCCAGTGACTGGTATTCCAAATCAGCCGCTTCTTGCCATTCTTTTGCATTTGGACTCTTTAATGCTTCCTTCAGTGTGATTGGTTCTGTGACCGAACACACACTAGCATAATGGTCAACAGTCACCATATCTGCAAACTCGTCATATCCATATCTCTTTGGAGCCCTTCTGATTCTGCTTCCTCTTTTAGTAGTTTCCTCAACAGTAACATCATCAGTTGTTTCTTTTTCTTCTGTGATGGTAACCATCTCTTTCTCTGGACAGGAAACTTCGTCCTTCTGTCTCCAGTCAAAGTCAGACTCATTAAAGATGACATCTTTTCGAATCAGAATTCTCCTTTTTTCTTCATCAAACAGACGATATCCTTTTGCGTTGTTTGCATATCCCACAAACCTGAGTTTTACAGCTTTCTTGTCAAGTTTTCGTCTTTGAACATCTGGAACATGTGCATAGGCAACACAACCAAACACTCTCACATGGCTCATGTCAGGTTTTTTACCAGACCATCGTTGGTACGGTGTCTCTTGCTTCAGAACAGATGTCGGCAATCTGTTTTGTATGTAGGCTGCTGTTGCTACTGCTTCAGCCCAGTACATTTTTGGTAGCTTAGCATGTGACAACATGCTTCTAGCTGCTTCAACCAATGTCCTGTTTTTTCTTTCTGCAACTCCATTTTGCTGAGGTGTATGAGGTACAGACATCTCATGGTGGATACCTTGAGCTTTCAAATATTCTTGAAACTCACTTGAATGTACTCCCCACCATTATCTGATCTCAGTCTTGTAACTTTGTGTCCACACTCATTAGAGAATGTTCTCTCAAACTCCTTGAATTTGCTTAAGACTTCACTTTTATGTTTCATGAAGTAAACCTTACAACAGCGAGAAAAGTCATCTATGAAGGTTACAAAGTATTTTGACCCACCTATGGATTCTGTCTGCATGGGTCCACAGACATCACTATGGATCAGTTGCAGCTTACGTTTGGAACGGATTTCTCCCACTACTTTACATGGCTGTCTTGTGAGCTTGCCGTCCACACAGGCTTCACAGAAAGGAAGTTCTTTGTCTGCAGAGAATTTCACTCCATTCACCAAATCTCCTAACTTCTTTAGTTTTGGTGGTGTGACCCAGGCGCTGATGCCACAGACTAGCTGTTACTGATGCACTTGATGCACCATGACAGACTGGTGAAGATCCTTTAAGATTCAACTGGTACAGTCCATCAGATCTTTGTGTTTCCCATTCCTTTAAGAGTTCCATCCTTGCCACGTATGTAGCACTGAGATTTTTTGAACTGCACTGTATTTCCTTTTCTTGTTGCAGCTCCCACTGAAAATAGATTTCCAGACAACTTTGGAACGTATAACACGTCATACATTGTGGCGGGTTTAGCATCACTTATTTTGAAGGTCATGTTCAATTTAACAATGCCGAAACCTTGAGCTTCCACCACCCTGCCATCACCCAGTTTTACAGACTGTGTTTCTGTAAACTGCTGGTAGTTTTGAAGAATTTCTTTGTCACAGGTCATGTGTTTTGATGCTCCAGAATCAATCAACCACTCATGTTGTCCTGGTCCTTCAGTTAGATTAGCATTTTCTGCAACAAATGCACTCTCAGAGGGATCTTCTTCATTTTCACACACTGCATTTTTGGCTTTGTGATTTTTATTTGTTTTTTCCAGCTTGGACAGTTACGCTTTATGTGTCCTTCTTTGCCACACTTGTAACATTTCCATGAACTCTGTCCTTCAGCTCCCACTACTTTTGAACGGCCCTGCATTTCTCTGGAAACTTGTGTTGACATGGCTGATACACCACCACCTGATGTAGCCACACTGTAGTCATCATTGACATTTACTCTTTTTTGCTCTTCATTGATTAATGCTTGCTGCACAAACTGCAATGTCAAATTGTCCATCTTTGTTTCGAGAGCAGTGACTATCGTAGCATAGCTTGGTGGTAAGCTACCCAGGAGAGTTACAATCTGATCTTCCTCTTTAACCACAGCACCTATTGCTCTTAGCTGATCAGTCAGTTCCTTCATTCGTTTCAAATGATCATTTAAGCTGTCCTTTTCTTTCATTTCACATCTGAAATATTTCTTCTTCAAGAACAGTTTATTTGCTAAAGTGTCTCTCTCAAAATGTCCTTTTAGCATGTCCCAAGCTTCTTTTGGAGTTTGACAGCTTGTTATCAAATACAACTGGGGTGTACTCACATTTAGCACTAACATAGAAAATGCTCTTTCTTTCCGTCTCTCGAATTCTGCCCGAGCTTGTGTGCTAGCATCCGGAGTTAGCATGTCCGTCTCCGTTAGCATGCCCCACAGTCCTTTAGCCTTTAGCAAATGCTCCATTTGAAACTTCCACGTTGCCCAGTTCTCTGGTCCATTCAGCTTGTCGATAAACATCTTATCATCCATTGTGAATCCCACAATTCCGTTTATCCGACTCAAAAACTTCAATTACCGAAGGTTTTTAGCGACACTCTGGGCCCATAACCTGAAGAGAACAGGCGTTTCAACGTGCGTTCGTTTATTCTCCTTTTCAGAACAGTACAACACAACTGCAGTACACAGAAGACACAGCAGAGGTCAGCATAACGGCCTCTCCGTTAACCATTAAACAAAATTACTCCTTATTTCAACACACACCTCCAAATTGTACATAAAAGCTGATTGCTGAGAATGGACAACTAAAGCTTGTGGCATTTTCTCCGCAGCAGCATGGCTCAAACTGATAATTATTTTGCACTAGTTTAGTGTAAAATATGAAATGAAACTTCTCATATTTTACTCTAACTTAAGACTTTCTTATGTAGGGATTTAATAAATACAGATTTTCCAGACAGTCAGGGGTTAATGAAGGCTGGAGGAAACTTTCACACCTGGAGCAGAGAAGCAAACAATCTCTGACCTTCCTGTTATCACGCGACTGCTCTTCATCCTGGAACATATTTATTCCAGATGTTTGCTCAATTTTCCACCATGCTGCTGAGCTGGAACATTGCAGAGAAAATCCTGTCTAAATTAATAATTAATCACAAAGTTAGAGAAAACGAGCTGGAAAACGCTGCATAGAATAATATGACTGAAGCTGTAATCCAGCAAAAATATCCTTATTGTTTAAAATTGGGATGTGATTTAACCAACAACAAATGTCCTTAATTTGCTTCCAATATAGAGACAATGTAATAAAAAACCAAAAATTTAATAAAAGTGTAAAATTTATCAAGACATAAATACAAATATAAATATTCTATGGATACTTGAATGGAATGTTTTCTTGTCTTTCCTGTTTTTAAGAGAAATTGACTTTGCATCTCCTTATACTTGTATGCCACTCTGATCAAGTTAAAAACCCAAAATATTACATAAAATGTTACATTTTATATGAATTTAAAATAATTATTTCTTACAGTGGGATTTTTTTCTCAACTGAATAAATAAATGTTCTTAGTTTAAAGAATTGATTTTTCAAATCTTTTCATGGTTGCTGCATTTAAAGATGAAATTACTTTATAGATTTTGAACACCAATAAATTCTAAGCATAAAATAAAGTAGATCAAATTGAATTAAAGTAAAATAAATATTTGAATTTGATAGATATTAAATGTCTGTATTGAAAAATAAGGTTGCTTAAAAAAAGATGTTTTTATATTTTTGGGTTGCACAACCAGTAATAAATTATGTAGTCAAATAAAAAAGGTTGGAGACAAGAAAAGGTTATAAATCCAGTTTCGCTTTAATTCTGCCTTATATTTAATATATACATATATATACTTGAAAAATTACAGCCATGTTCTGCTGCTGAATTGAAAATGTATTTATAGCAGTAGTAAAAGTCTGAAGGAGAGCAGCTGAATCTAACAGCAGCTGAGAAAAGGTAACCTTTTCTTTGGTTGCAGGTTCTCCCATAGAGGAGCTTATAAAACGTTTTAAATGTGGTCACATCAAATGTCAACGTTTGACTCACACATTTTCCTTGCAAATAGATTCAGACTCCATCAGGTTTTTTTTATTTTTATATTGTGCTGCAAAATCTGATTTGTTTTTTGTTCATTAAAAATGCACACTATAGTTTTTACGATTTTAATTTAAAAACAACTAATTATTTTCCTTCCACTCCCGAAATATACAAAGATTTTAAGGGCAGTTGCAAGAGCGAGTGAGGTGGATTAGCAGAGCTGGCTAACAACTGAAAACGTAATCCAGGACATTTTAATATGAAATGTCTCTGCTACATCATATGTCTTCAGTCAGAGGATACTACAAATTTGCTGCAAGGCTGACTGCTACTGGAGATCCTTCCTGCCCACAGCATTGTAACTAGATACTTCTAATTACCCTTTGGGATAAATAAGGTTTTTTATTGTTATTATTGAATTTGTTACATCTAAAATGTGCAGGAAATGTGACCTTGCAGGGCCCCAATAACATGCGCAAATTTTTTCATTTAACAAACCTTTGCAGAAAATAATGCATTTTATATCCAGCAATAGAAAACTGCAAAAGCCAGATTTTATTTATTTACCACCCCATGTAAAAGATCTAAAACTTCAAAATATTAAATATTACAATTAGAAATTATGGATTTCATTTAAAATGTGCAAACTGAATCTCTACAAATAAAATTGCATAATTTTAGCTGGATTATGTCCTGTTTATTTAAGTTTAACTGTCACAAGAAACACTTTAAAAGTTAAATGCAATTCAAAAATATTGTTTATGATTCCTGATTAGGATTTAATATAAAATATATCAGTATTTCTGAAAGACAATAACATTTACAGAGTAAAAGTCTTCTGAGCAAATTTTCCTCTAAATCTGAATTTCTGAATGAAATAGTCTGGAAGACAATGATTCTTTCATTTGAATTAAGGCTTTATTTTCACAAAGTCTGATGTTCTCCTGGTGGACGCAACGTGACGAGTATCTGCTGCCATCTAGTGGCGATAGACCTGAACTACTTTGCAATTTAATTCGATCGTTACAAAAAACAAACAAAAGTCAAATATAAAACAAATATTAATGCAATAAATACATGTATTTGAAATTATTTAAATGCTAAAATAGTGTTTCAATATTTTAAAACATGTTGTAAGAGTTTATTTAGAAAGCAACAATAATTAGATTTTAGCAAATTATTTTTTTAATTTTAATTAATGTTACTGACTGTAATTTATTTCCATCAAAGCGAGTTGGCTCTAACAGAAATTTTAGTTGATGGGCAGATTAACCAATCAATAACACCAATGTAAAATAATTTCATGATTGCGGGATAGAAAAACATGACGTCATTCAACAAATAGAAGTTGAAATGCTTATTTTTTATTAATTTCAATTATAATATGTAATTAAGCTGTGTGTATATTTATCTAGTAGGATATGAAAACTCTTCTATATTTAATAAATTAGCAATTTACTGGGGCACTTTTGGTCTTCCATACTTTCACAGAAAATATTGATTCATCAATTTCACTTGTTAAAAGAACAAAGGTCAAAAGTTCAAAACTGAGGTGAACTGTACACTGGAGGAAAGGTTTGGTGAAAAACTGACCTGCAGTCCAACATTTTTAACCTCATTTAAAGCAAAAAAACAAGTTTCTAAGTACATAAATGACCATGGCTCCTTTTATAAGGTGCTTACTGCATATTTAAATGATTCCAGTGAAAGCAGAGGTGAAACATATTCCCTACCAGCTGTGACTATCTGGACTGACCAGGGGTATTTAGTCATCAAGGTCTGATAGGATCTCCACAGGCTGGCCATCCTCCTTAAAAAAAGGAAATGTTGATAAAAACAAAAACAGACAAATCAGAAGCAGCGTGACTTCAATGAAGTAAACCTGCAAATAAGCATCCTTATGTCCACAATTAGGACAAAAATCGTATCGACGCTGTTCTAGGATATTCCGTTGAATTCTAATTTAGTTATACCAACGATGAAGCAGCGATACATTTAATGCATTAATTTAAGATGAGCCTGCACATTTTTCCCATATTACATGTATTCAACTGGATCCCAAATTAGCATATTCAGAGATTTTGTCAACGCCGAATTAAAGACCATAATCACATTAATACAACTCACCAACGATTTACTCTTTAGCTAAAATAATTTTCAGAATTTTCAAATGAAGCCCAGAAGCTCATTCTTTTTCAACGGAGTTTGGACAGACAAGGATTCGGAAGTTTTAAAAGTCTGCTTTTTAGTGCTTTTCCGTTAAAGAAAAATACCTTAAACATCGAAGTATATCTTCCGGAATAACAGTTCTGCTTAACCGCTAAACATGTCGCAAAGAAGTGGATTAATTTACGGAGGAAAAAGCAGTAAATGCAAAACGTGTTACATGCCTGCTGGCGAGTCTGGCTGAACACGGAGAGTTAACGATGCCTTCACGTGCTCACATCAGCTCGGATTTTTGACTTACATAAAAACTGTTCCGCTACTCACTAAATTTCCTTAAACCGATTTATAAAGTAGAGAGGAACTTCAACTATATCATATTACAACTTTATATCAGTAAATTAGAATAATAAAAAGCAGATAAACACGAGCAAAGTGACATATTTTAAAGATTTTTTTTTTTAAAGCGAAAGCCTTTGTTTATTTTTATAGATTGCACATGTTTGATATACAAAAAGGATTTTTAATATAGTTTTGAACCTATCAAAGAGCACCTTAGTGTACACTTGGGTATATTTACTAAGCATTTGGTCAAATCAAGAACCAACCATTGTAATTTCCTATGGTTTTTAAAGGTATCATCAAAAATACGCAAGTTCCGCTGTAAACAATGAAATTGGGCTGCCCTCTAGTGGACAGTTTGACAATGAAAAGTTTCTCATTTTTAAGTATTTATTTATTCTCTTCAAGCAGAGACACTTACAGAAACAGAAGCAATACCCAATATTACAACTGTTTAGGAAGAAAATGGCACAGAGTACATAAATTTATTATTTTGCCTCAGATGAATACTGGCAGCAGTGTTTTTCAGTAAAATTATAGTATGAGGTATTGATCATTCATACAAGTAACAGCTGAAAGTTATTTCAAGTGAGTCATATTTGATTTTAGATGCTTCATATATTACTGTTTTCTGTGAACATGGTGACACAAATAAAAATAATTGACATGGAGCTCAGCATAACAGGAAATATTCGATTTTAAGACTTTGACAATAGAAATGGTGAATGAGCAAACTGTTGACTTGTATTGCATATATTTCTGAAAAAAAAACCCTGATTCATACAAGTCAAAAAATGTGTGGTATAATGAATGTAATTACCTGTAAACAAGATAAATAAATAACCATGTAAAACTTGGCTAAACAGCAGCAAGGACGGGTCCCTTTAAGGGCTAGTTTACATGCACGACCTGAGCCTGTGACAAATTATATTTGACCAAATCACATACAAACACAAAATGGCGCTCAATACAGAGGACAAACAAAATCTGTTGCATTGTTGAAAAACAATAAAATTCTTTTAGATAAACATTTCAACTAAGAAATATTAAAATTTGTGGCATAAAATAATAATAAAAAACATATTTAGGCAACAAAAGTTCATATTTGACCTTTTCATTCACTCATCAGTCTTCAAGTAGTTACGATTGCCGTCTCTTTTGGTGAAAGTTGCCTGAGATAAGAACATTCACTCTGTAGAAAATAAAAATGTAATGTGCCCAAATTCTTCCAGGATTCTTCACTCTGCTAGCGATGCACTAATACCTTAAAGTTGGACGGAAATATGGGGGACGATTATCAACGGAGATGAAGACGTTGCCTTATTTTCATGCAACATCTTAGTGCAAAGACATAGATCAACATCCTATCAAAACTGAGCCCAGATCTCGTTTGATGTCCGCAAGATTTAAATTAAATTAATTTATTTACAATATCTGGCCTCTAGTTGTACAAAAATCCAGTAAGATGTTTATCAATTTTAAGGCTCTTTAGAAACACTGCAAAACACAACATCTTGGCAGATTATTTCACTTATAACAAGAAATTTTTCCCATGATACAAATGAAATAATCTGCCAATGGAACTAAGACTTTCCATCAATATCAAGGAATTAGTCATGTAAAACAAACTCCTATTTCTTGCTGAAAAGTGATTTGTCAGTTAGTTTAGTCTCATTTCAAGTATATTTACACAAGAAATTAGACCAAAAATACTTGGTAGGATTCTGTATTTTTGCAGTGAAATTAATGGTACATAAAAGAAACTTTAAAGCATCATAGGAGAAATTATTGACACATTAAAAAAATAAGTTGTGTGTATTAGTGACATGTTCTGGATTGTGGAACGTAATTCAGAGCGAACTTTTACCTCTGGTCCCTTTAACAAACGTTTCCCTAAACTTACAGGTTTGCCGTCACATAAAGCCCGCTCTGTGGGATCCAACTGGAACCAGTTCAGAGCGTCTTGGTGGGAGAAGCCAAGCTGATAAAGTAGAAATTTATTATTCATATGCATTAACAGAAAAGTGCTCCAGTAGCAGTCTGTCCTCAGAAGTCCATTCCTTCATCACTTTCACAGATGTCAGATGGAGCGTCGGTACCAAAGTAACGATCCCCAAAGTTACCTGAGAAAAAGAGCAGAACATGTTTACCATGATTTCTCCTGAAAACTTTGTTCTTTTCTCATAGAAAGTCTCTTCCTCCTTTAAAACATCCGGCTTGCTCTGCCGTTTCGTTCCTGTTAAAATGAGCGATTTCTGCCCACTGTCGCCACTTGCTTCTTCTGAATGAAGGGTGGCTACAAAATCAACAGACACATTCAGCTGGAACCAAAGTTGCAACATTTGTAATAATTTCAGCTGCAGCGGTTCTCCTTCATTCTGCACTGTGGCAAACAAACCAAACAAATTGAAAACCTGTTCCCCTCCTCACCTGTGGTGGCGCTGTGCCATGAAGGACACAACATAAAAACCTCAGAAAAAGACACAACGCGGAACTTAATTTTTCACAAAATCTAAACAAAATAGGGTAGCGTCAGATTTTAGCGGTTAGAGGATTTTGTATTTACCCAGAATGCCCTGCGCTGTAGTCCAACCAAAATGATATATTTCAAGAATTAATTTTATATTTTGAATGAGAAACCCATTATTTAATTAGAAAACTGAATTCAGAGGAAGTGAACGAGTTCAGCTCCTCACCGATTCCTGGAATGATGTGGAACTGGTCGTTGACCTCTTTGTCCACGGCGGTGGTGATGATGCGGACTTTAGGAAACGCGTAGGCCACCGAGTGAACGCCCATCTCCGCCATGAGCAGGGAGAGCAGGAAGATCTTATCCTCGGCCACATCGTGGTCCTCCACGAGGAACAGAAGGAAAAACGATCAAAAATACATTTTATAATGTTTTTATTTTATAAAAAAAAAAAAATTATGTTTTTTTTTTTACTCATTAAAAATATATATCTTGTATTTATTATTACACTATTATTTTACATTTAAATAAAAAAAGAATTATTTATTTTAGGGTGAAAACAGAATGAGAACAAAGCAGCAGCAGCTTATCATGAAAATCAAACATTTTACAAAATTATACACATAGAATACTAACAAAATTAATTAAACGTCCAAAACAATGTAAATCTCCTGAATCTTTGATATATTGCTATATTTATATTTCGTCAAAGAAAAATAAACAAATGACTTTAAATAAAAGTGAGAAAATAAAACAAAAGTCTGATGAACCTGAAATGTTTTAAGATGATTGAATTATTTTACTAATCAAAAGTAAGTAAAAATATTTCACTAAAATGTTCAAGGAATGTTAAAGACTCATTTATTTTAGTTTTTTAAGCATAAGTTAAAGTGGAAGGTAGGAAATCTAACTGATGAATTTGTCCTTCGCTATTCTTTTGCTTATTGACGATCTGTTTATTATTTCTCAGAAGTTTGAAAGTGAATAAATTTAAAAAAATAAAAAAATAAAAAAAACCCTGAATATTTCTGATCAGAATTAAAAGCAAAAACATTAAAAAGTTTAAACTGGACCCACCAGCAGAACTCTGACAGCCATGAGCGCAGCGGCTCCGGTGGAGACGGTGCTGTCCATCAGGATCACGTAGTCCTCGCTGATCTCCTTCGGCAGGCGGAGGTAGTGAAGCTGCAGGAAGAACTCAGTGAGAACAACACACAGCCACCGAGACGGCGCTCACAAACACACAAACCTCCGGCTCCCCGGTGTCGTGGTTGGTCTGGATGAGGATCTTCCCCAGCCGGATGTCTTTGCAGACGGCCGTCAGAGCCTGCTCCATCGTCTCCCCGGCCCGCAGGATAGAGACGCCGGTGATCTTAACGGGACAAAAAGTAAGAAAACAACAATAATTCAGTCTGAAAGCTCCTGCTGAACAGCAAACAGGTCAAACTGCAACTTTAACATCTGAATCTACAGCAATGGAGCAGAGCTATGTGAGCTACTGCCACTAGGGGGCAGCCTCAGGAAGATCTTTATCCAACATTTGGTTCAGTGAAGAGATAAATGACTTAATAACTAGTTTAAATGATCAAAGTGACACTTAAAATGTACCTTTTAGAGAAATAAAGGTACATATGAATATCCTCATATGTGCCAGGATATTCAGTTGGAAACTTGTAATTAAGACAAATATTCACATCAGTTGGAGAGCCAGTAAATTGCAAAAGAAAATCTTTATAAAAACTGAAATATGTTGAAAGATTATTTTAATTCCATGAGTAAATGAAAAAGAAAATAATTTTGACTTTTCCCCAAATTCTGACTTTTTTTCTCCCTCAGAAGATTAAAGAACGTATTAGTTTGTTTTAGTTAGTTTTTATAAAGCAGGACACGTTAAAGCAAAGAATTAAAATGTTAATTATTACGGCCCCAACACAGAACCCTGTGGTACACCGCAGGAGACGTCCTAACATTCAAACCATTCAAACACCTTTAACAGAAAAGGCTGGAGCTATAAAAGGATGGAAATATCTGTTCAGGTGAAACCTACAGAAAGAAAAGGTTTTCATCTTCATTTATTTTATGGTTTGAATTGATTCTTGACTCCTTCAACGTTAAATTTGAAGAATAGAAACTGAAGTTTGCTATGAATCCACAGCAGATACTTCCGTGTTACATAATTGGAGACAATGCGATGGTGAATAAAGTCCATCTTATTTTGTTTTCTTGAACTTCTTCAAATATGCAAAATAGTTCAGCTCTGAACTTTCCAGTTCAGTGTAAAGAACCGGAACCTTTTTAAAACTGAATCAGTTCAGTAGAGAGTCGATGAGACTCTGATTCTTACTCTCTGGCCGCTCAGCCTCTTTCCCTCGTAGACGGTGCCCTGAGGCGTCTCCACGGAAACGGGCTGGACGGGACAAAAACGGGACGAAATTCA